TGGGAGGGAGCAATTGAGTGGGCAGTGGCAGCAGAGGGGGAGGGGCTGGTAGGGGCAACGGTAGCAGGGAGCATCCCTGCCCTCTCACCTCATCTGTTGTTTCTCTTGTCCCAGTGTTCGATTTCCACCAGGCCGTGATTGAGATCCAGCAGCAGCAGGATGGCAAGAAGTGAGGGGAGGTTAACAGCTGGGTCCCCATTGGGGGAAGGACAGGAGGGATGGAGCTGGGCCCAGGGAGGATTATGGCTGGATGCCCTGGAGTGGGGCATTTCCATGGGGGTTCCCCTTGGACACCAATGGCAGGGGCTAGGCTGGGGTTGGGGAGAGGGGAGGCCATTTCTGTGGGATTCTCATCCTTTGGTGACAGGGCTGCTGCTCTCCCTGCAGCATGGCCCAGTGGAGGGAGTGCTGGGTCTGGCTGCAGTGGCTAGGAGGAGCTGCTGCCACCACCCGTCTCTGACTCTGCTTCTCTGGCAGCCTGGGCACCACCAGGAAGGGCATTGGCCCTGTCTCTGCATGCAGGGCTTCCCACACTGGTCTGTGCATCTGTGACCTGCTGGCTGACTTCCACAAGTTCACCAAGGAAGTGAGTTAGAAGGAGGCAAAGGCAGGTAGGAATCCTTTAATGAAGAAGTTCAGGGACCCCTGAAGATTCACTCGTTCAACCCAGCCCTGGGGATCTGCTCACATATCCTACCCCAGGAGGTAGTGAAGCTTGAGCATCTGTGACCTCAAGCAGTGCAGGAGTGTTTGGGGGTGCACTTTGAGGTCAGCCATGTGTGGCCCCTGCAGCCAGTGCAGGAGCATGGAAGGCAGGGATCCTGGCTGAGGAACAAGCTGGGCTGCAGAGGGGGGTCTCCTGGCTAGAGCCTCCCTCTGGTACCCCAGCCCTTCCCTCTCCCCAATCCTTTGTCCCCCTCTAGCATTCCTACCCCATATAACCCAAACCCTCAGCACCCCTGCTCCTACACTCATAACTCCTCCCAGACCTTGCACCCCAATCTTCTGTCCCCAGTCATAACCAGATTCCCTGCATCCCTTCCTACACTGCTCCTGCAGGTCATAACCCCTTTCCATATCCTGCACTCCCTCATACACTGCAGTCTCCTTCTGCAGGCCACCCCTCCTTCACCCAAACTCCCTCCTGCACCCTAGTCACTTTACTCCAAGCTATCTTCTGCACCCAATCTCCATCCCAGACCCTGCACCTCCTCCATTAATATCATGGAAGAATGCAGCCCTTGACCACTTACCAAATTCTTGGAGTGGCCCCCCCCATTACAAATTATTGTCCACCTTTGCCTTTGGTCTATGCTGAAAGGATCTGAGCCCTGGTAAAGGATGGTGTGTATTTCATGCACCAGGCCCCACACAGGCCCCCCAAGAAAATCCTGGTGAATGGAGCCAGTGCTGGATATTTACTTTGGTAAGTGTGGCACAGTCCCCTCATGCCTGGTGTATAACAGGTGAGGCCTGCCGCCGCCTCTGCAGTCTCTAGGGTAGTAGTTCTCAACCTGCGGCCCAATCAGAAAATAGCTGCCGCACATTTGACTTCTTCAGGGCATACAAGTATTATTGGATGCATCCTGCATAACACAATAGTAAATAGGTTAAGAACCATGGCTCTAGAATAATGATAGAAATGTAGCCGTGTTAGTCTGGGGTAGTTGAAGCAAAATGCAGGACAATGTAGCACTTTAAAGACTAACAAGATGGTTTATTAGATGATGCGCTTTCGTGGGCCAGACCCACTTCCTCAGATCAAATAGTGGAAGAAAGTAGTCACAACCATATATACCAAAGGATACAATTAAAAAAAATGAACAAATATGAAAAGGACAAATCACATTGCAGAACAGAAGGAGGAGGCGGGGGGGTGGGAAGGGGGAGGAAGGAAGGTAAGTGTCTGTGAATTGATGATATTAGAGGTAGGGAGAGTGGCTCTAGAGAGTGCCAAGCCCTGGGCTAAGCTTTTCCTAGGGCAGCCACACAGCTCTAAGACTCAGGTTAGCCAGGAAAGCAAGACTTAAATGAGGGGTAGCGTTAGCCGAAGTAACAGCCCTGCTTACTCCATGGCCTTCTGGAGCCTGTGCCTGAACCTGTGTGTGCTCTACCAAGGGCTGCCAAGATCACCTTCTCTCCTCACCTCTCTCTTCTTCCCTAGCTCTAGCCCTGCTGCGTTTGCTGTTGTGCTTTCCCTGGGGCTTCCATTGTCTGCGTGGCCCTTTGTTTATCTGGACTGACTGCACATAGCTCTGGATAAGCTATCTGGGCTGGAACCCCTATGGGTATATGGCAACCAACCATGCCTTTCTACCCTCCCTAGAGGAGGAATTAACCTCTCACTCCCTGCAGACAGCAACACAAATTGGGTAGGGAATTGAGTCACACACATTTACTATATATTTGAGAGAGTTTGTCTGTTTATTCAAGAACTCCTCCCAACGGTAAGAGCTAGGACCACCACATTTGATAGACAGCTTCCCCTTAACTTAAAGCAAGTAAGGGTTTGGTTGTGCCAGGGAAATGGGATGTGCCTGGAATGGGATTGCTTCTCATAAAACCAAACAGAAAAGAGACAGTCACCAGGAAGGTGAAAGGGGCTGCCTGGGGGCATGCCTCCCCCCTGTCTGAGACTGCCTCAGCCCTGGGCTTCTCACCCTCCAGGTGCCCTTTAGGGAGGTTGGCGGCAGGGGAGAGAAGCTCCCTCCCAGATTTTTACCAGGACATTGCTGGCTCCCTTTGTCAGGGAGCAAGGGGAAAGTGCACCATTTGCTGCATTCCTCACTCTGGCTGGGGAGCACAGGGAGCAGACAAGCTGTGCACTTTGCTCTTGCTCCCTGACAGGGACAGGAAGGGGAAGAGCAAACAGCCCTAGTTTGAATCTTGGGGCGGGATGCGCACACACACACATGCACCCACTCAGAGCTCTTCCTCACCCCGTCCCAATCCAGATTCCTACATCCCCCACATTCCCTGTCCTGAGCCTCCTTAAGAGCCTGTTCAATGCCAGGTAAATGTGCTAGTTGTTGTTAAATTAATTCCCGCATTTTGCACTCCCTTCCTGCTCTGTGGGACTATGCAGCAAAAGCAGCCGGAGTCAAAGAAAACATGTTCTGATCAACACAATCAGTTGCAGGCTGGAAAGGGAGAGTTCTCATTACAACTGGAATCCAGGGCTTGTGGTGTATGGACTCAGAATGGGGGCTCTGAGCCCCATTTCTGAAGACCTTGTTTGCTTCCTGCCCCTGCTTAGCTCACCTTGGCCTCTCATTTCTCCCCAGGGACATACCCGTTTGTGACATCCTTGAACTGCACAGTGAGGGGAATCTGCACAGGCCTGGGCATTCCACCTTGCCACATCCGGAAGATGTATGGGGTGGTGAAGGCCTACACAACCTGGGTGGGTTTTGGGACCTTCCCCACAGAGCAAGACAACGTGTGTTCTGAGGAATGGGTCTGAATGGCCAGCTTGGGGGGGGGTAGGAAGTCTCAGACAGTGGAGAGTGAGATTCCAAGTGCTTTCTCCCTGAAGGAACAGGGAAAATCCTGGTGCCACCCCTGGAGAGCAGGGACGATCTCTCGCGTGTCCCCCCCCTTTGACACAGCGCATGCGCCATGGTGCCAAGGCTCATGCGTGGGGCCCCGGGAAGCGTGGGGCCCGGGGCAACTGCCCTGCTCGCCCTGAAGTCTCAGACAGTGGAGAGTGAGATTCCAAGTGCTTTCTCCCTGAAGGAACAGGGAAAATCCTGGTGCCACCCCTGGAGAGCAGGGACGATCTCTCGCGTGTCCCCCCCCTTTGACACAGCGCATGCGCCATGGTGCCAAGGCTCATGCGTGGGGCCCCGGGAAGCGTGGGGCCCGGGGCAACTGCCCTGCTCGCCCTGCCCTAAATCCACCGCTGCCCATATGATCAATGGATTTAGTGTGTAAGGACCACATCACCTCCCCACTGCTCCCTTTCACAGCCTCACTGAGTCCCCCATCCTCACCCTCACTAACAGCCTCAGGTACCATCTCCACATCCACCCTGCCATTTCCTCCCCCATTACCCTTCAGCCTTACTAACACCCCCCCTCGGATCTTGCCTCTCCATTGTCCCTTCCTACAGTCTCACTAACCTTTCCCTCCCATGCTCTCACCTCATGCATCCCCTGCCGTCAGTCGCTGCCTCTTGCATGCTCCGATCTTGCTATCTCCCTACCCCTGCGTCACCTGCTCCTGGCTTTCCCTGCAGTCTGGCGCTCACCAAGCTGGATATCCTAGACTCCTTCCCTGAGATTAAAGTGGGCATGGAGTACCTGTTGGAAGGGAAACCCATCTCCTACTTCCCAGGTGAGCCAGTGGCTAGGTTACGCCATGAAGGGTGGTTATTGCCCCTTCCCCACAGTGGGGGAGGGTAGTGGCCCCTGGGGATGAGGCCTTGTAGCCCTTGAGCTTGGGGGAGAGGCTCTTGTGGAGGGGAGAAGAATGGGACTCCAAGGGAGGTAGGGAGAGGGGCTGAGCCATCCATGGGTGTGGATAGGTATCTGTCTGGGAGTGCAAGCAGCTGAGCCATCTGAGGGGGGAAGGACTGCCTGAGGAATGAGGTGGGGGAGAGAGGGGATCCTTTCGGAGTAGGGGCTAAACCACCTTGTGGTATGGTGGGGAAGGGACTCCCTGGGGCCCTGCGGCAGCCAGTCAGCTACTCTGTTCCCTGCAGCGAACCTGGAGCTGCTGAACAAGGTGTCGGTGAACTGCAAGACACTGCCATGCCAGCAGTGCAGCACAGAGCAGGCCCGCAGCTCTGCCAGCTTGCCTTCACAGGCACAGAGCTATGTCTACTTCATTGAGTGCTACCTTGGGGTGCCAGGTGTGTCCACAGCCTTACCGCACTGCCTGCTGGCCTGGCTTCCGGAACCTGGGAATGGAAATGCTGGACGCTCCCTTTAGGGTGCTGTGCAGTTCCCGGGAGAGGGGATGCCGAGGGGTGTGGGATCTGCCTTTTTCCTCCTGCAGTGAAGTGGGTGATGTCAGGGAGTTCACTAATCCTTCATCTGGATTTCTGAAGCCTCCCCTTCCTCCTAAGCTGTCCCTTGGAAGAAAAGATGGTTCTGTAGGGGTGGTGGTGGAGGGGATCTGTCTTGTATGTGGGGGGGGGAGGATATGCTGGGGGAGGGCGTTCGGGGTGCAGTGAAATGGGTCAGTGTCGGAAAGTTCTGTGACTCCATCAAGATTTTCTGAGCCTTTGGCCAGCTGTCACTCGAGGGGGCTCTGCTCTTGGACACTCCCTGATACGTGGATCCCTCAGCAAAGGATCACAGGGACCAATGGGCTGGGAGCAGCCCTATACATGCCTCTCAGTCTTCCGTGTTCCCAATCCTTCCCAGTTCTGTGCATGGTGGGGAGCCCCAGCCTGCAGTTTACGGGCCACGTGTTACACTCTGCTCCCGCTGGCTGGTGGCCGGGCCATGTGGTCCCCTCTCCTCACTCCAGGGCTGTGCCTGATGGGCTGTGCTCACTCCAGGTGGGGGACCTGAGCCCAAATCTTGCTCCTGCTCCACCTCTCTCTCCTGCCCCCTAT